AATGCCGATAACCAATATATTGGCCGATAAATCTATGTCCAAATTTTTTTAACATTTAAGAGAACAGATAGCAGAGGCGGGGTTTATCTGAGTCTGGAGATGATTCTGCCAACAACAGCATAAAGACTTAATAATTTTAAAATAATTTACCTCAAAACTCATTCTCATGTTTGAATGCCTTCTTTTTTGTAATCCGATGTGAATTCTGATCACCGTATAAGTAAGAAATATTTATACGCGATGCAAAAGATACATGCTAACTATTACTATAAGCTATGCAGATGATACACAAATTTATTTCCCTCTGAAACGCAACAAAGAGACTGCTCTAAAATCTCTTTTTGCATGCCTAGAGGAAGTAAAAATGTGGTTTTCTCAAAATTTTTTGTTCCTGAATGAATCCAAGACCGAGGTTATAGTCTTTGGCCCCCATGACAACTATGATAGCAGCAACATTGATCTGAACTATCTGGATCGAAAGTCATCTTGCATCAAGAACCTTGGCGTTCTCTGGGATCCAAACCTCAAATTTGAAAAACAAATAAATACGGTGATTAGTGCTTGCTTTTTTCAGTTACGCCTTCTCTCTAAAATTAAATCTTCCCTTTCTGAGAAAACACTAGAGATTGCCATTCATGCGCTCATTACATCACGGTTGGATTATTGCAATTCTCTCTACTTTGGCATACCCAAACACTTTATTGCTCGTCTCCAACTAGTTCAGAATGCTGCTGCAAAGTTCCTCAAAAGAAAACGCAAATTTGATCATGTTTCACCTATCTTAAAATCTCTACACTGGCTACCTGTGCATTTTAGAATCGAGTATAAAATTCTTTTATTTGTTTTTAAATCCGTAAATAACTTTGCACCAAGCTATCTGTCTGAGCTACTCTGCCCACACAACCCCACACGATCCCTGAGGTCTGGTGATCAGAGTCTACTGTCTGTCCCCCGATCACGGCTAAAGAACAGAGGGGACAGAGCCTTCGCTGTTGCTGGCCCTAGGCTCTGGAACAGCCTTCCAGTTTATATCAGAGCTTCTCAATCTTTAACTGTTTTTAAATCCTCTCTTAAAACATATTTTTTTTCTTTAGCTTTTAGCTCATTGTGAGTTTTTGTTATGAATGTGTGGTTTGTCCTTGTATTTTCTGTCTTTTCTTTTTTCTCTTCATCATGTGTATTGTTCAGCACTTTGGTCAGCCTTGTTTGCTGTTTTTAAATGTGCTATATAAATAAACACAAACTTGAAACTTGAAACTTGATTACTAAACATGGTAAACTCGTCTCTTTATCATAAAATAAAGTTTTTTGGTGTTTTTTTGGAGGGGGAGCTTGTCTGTTGGTATGATTTACTTGGACTGATGGCTGTAATGGGGAATGGTTGAATGAATGAATTAATAGTTGTATTTGAGTGACTAATTACATTTTATATTGTAATTCACCTGCAAGGGGACTACAGATGGAAACTAGCTTATGCTAAATCTGGCGCAAAGCATCTTTAATTAATGTTTTTTTGCACATTCTCCCTGTTGAAATAAATAAATAAATTAAAACAAATGCCTGCTGGGTGATCAGAAACTACAGTAGGTCCATACAGTCACAGTCAGGAGAAAGCTGATGTTTTATACATTGCATGAGTTGCTGGTGTACTGGTTTCCTCATTACCCTTTTTATCTAGGTTAATCTCCAAGATATTCTTGATAAATACATACTAGACTTTTTTTTCTAAGTCAAATTATTTAATCTTTTCAATGTCTGAAATATTTTATCTGCATTGCTATTTTTAAGGAGTAAAATCAAAAATCCTTGTGTTAACGCCAGTTTCTGAAATTAATAATTTAATTTCAGCGTGGTGTCTAGTAGCATACATCAACAGTTAACAAAAATAGATGAAGTCTCGATCACTATTTTCTCTAACTACATCTAAACTTGGCACTGGATTTTAATTGGTGCTTTAATTCTGTGGTTAATTGGCCTTCAGAAAGCTCATAACGAAGCGGAACCAGTGGGTGCTAAAGAGGCTTGAAATGCGGTGAATTTATTTCTATATTCTGCTGCATGACTAAGATGTTGGCACTGTCACTCATTTGTTTATTCAGTGGTAATGAGTGTAATTAATGTCAACTCCGGAAATGAGTAATCCTCTATATTCATGTAATGAAGAAAATGGCGCTGACGGGGAATGGCGGGCAACTCAGACGCCCTCAAAAATCACATGAAGTATGAAGCCACTAGATTATGATTCCATTCATGTTCTCATTCTTTACTCATGGGCAAAATATTGAAAAATTCTCACATAATATTCAAATCAATTCGCTTGTGCAAAACTCATCAATACATCATCAGTGCAATCGTCGTCATTTTGCAGTGCAAATCAAAAGTAATATTATTGTCTTGATTTCAATTAAAAATATATAAACATCCATAAAAATGCAAAAGTGCATAAAATATTAAGAATTTTTTTCAGAGAATATGTCTTGAAATTTTGGTATCACACGTTGATGGAAAAAATAAGTGGTAGAAGGAAAAATATCATTTCGCAAATGTTTTTCATTCCCCCAAAAATGTGAATGTGAAAAAAAATTTCATTCCCCCTTTTTTTTTTTTTGCTAAGTTTTAAGCTTTAAAACAAAAACTTTTAAGTTTTAAAAGTTTTAAACTAGTTTTAAGCTTAAATCAAAACAAAACAATTTGATAATGCGGTAGGAAAAATATTTAATTATAGGTTTAAAGTCTCCCTGTGGTAAAATTAAAGCGTTTAATGTTGTTTATATGTCTATGTGTTATTTTTAACATACTTTAAGAAAAACCTTGTCCAAATTCATGTGTCAACACCATTGCTAAGTATTTTCTCGTTAAAACTGCAGCGAACCAAAGACAGTCTCAAAAACGCGGTTTGAAATTGCTGGTGTTTCTAACGTCTCAAAACTACCTTGTAACCAATCACGTCAATGTGTGATCGTCAACGAATGGATCTCTGAGCTGCTGTCTGTGAGTGGAGTGCTCATTTGCATATGCATAGAACCTCGTATACTAAATGAGGCTATTTTAAGGCATGAAGAAATTTTTTTCAATGAAAAAAACTTTCAAATATGTCGTTTTGGTGATCAACGATGAGTTTTAAGGGATAAAATTGTTGACTACAGGGGGACTTTAATGGAAACCAAGACTAAATGTTCCATAGATATGGCTCTGTGGGATGTTTCCACCCATTTTCAGTGTATGCAAAGTGAAAATTTTGAAAAGTCACACAATTCTATGATTGGTCCCCTCACTGAGGCGAAAATTTGGTCCATGGCGTCCAGACTGAATAAAATTGCGCTGCGCAAAGGCAATATGGGGAAACCCAGGCTAGTCTGTAGTCTAAATAATGCAGGATGTGCTACAGTATGTCTGCAATTGAGAGTTTATTCAAATCAATCCACAGCAGGTCCAAGGCTACGTCCACATTAATCCAGATACATTTGAAAACAAGGTTTTCGTTTAAAAACGCTCTCCGTTCACACTAGCGTTTTCAGCCGTTTTCCGACGTTGATGAGAAACTTCTAAATTCACTTTACTGCGCATGCGTGAAACTTCACAAAAGCTCACTGAGATAATAATGTTATCGCACGATAACAGGATAATTTTATTCAGCAAAATATCTCACCATCACTGATGCGTCCAGGTCGCATTCAGTCACCCTATGTTTGGTGTAAAACGCAACTGCTCACCTGTTTTGCCGCAGGACAGCAAATGTAAGTACATTGTAGTGCTATGAAGAATAGCACATATTAAGTAACATAGAAAGTAACATATTTTAGCAATAGTGTAAAAATGAATAACACATAACAGGCACAATACCGATAAACATGAATATCTATTGGTACTACATGGATCACATGACTAAACTTACGTCATCGTTTCGAAATACCTCCGGTTTCACTGTCCACACTACAACGCGAAAACGGCATTTTCAAATTTATCCACTTTGGAGAGCGTTTTCCAAACGATACGTTTTTGTCGACTTGTGGACGGAAGGCCAAAACGGAGAGAAAAATATACGTTTTCAAACGAAAACGTATTAGTGTGGACATGGCCCAAAACACCCCTGTTGGTCTCAAAACAAGGGCTGCCATTACTTTCCATATCCACTTGTACGGTTGAGATAAAATGTTGTAAATCTCATTACATGCTTTCCGTATGCTGGAGACATACTATATGCAAATGTGCTAAGTCAGAGATTGCCACTCGTCCCTGCTGTCTCTCTCTCTTCTCTTTGCACAATTATCTCAAGTCCATGTTCAGTATTCGTTTTCCATACAAATAATTCAATTAGACAGTAGAGAAGTATCCTTGATTTCGTCTACCTGTTTATCAATGGTTTATTCGCTCTCCTGTGGTGCCTTTTACAACAGAATGAAAGCTTTTCACACAAGTGGAGAGACAAGCAACAATCAGTGCGTTTTATGCAAAGCTGAAAACACCATTCGGCTTGTCAGTTTTGCAAGAGGGTGGTCCTCACTACGCTAATAAGCCTGTCATCTGAGAATGCAGCTTGGCTTCTTGGCGAAATGAGTAAGCGGTCGACTGGAGTGCTGCTATTATGAGGGATTCTCTTGAGTTTCGAAAAATACCGGAGGTAATGCAAAACTAATAGGTCGGTAAACAGTTATATAGATTGTGGTCTGCGATGCAATAACGTTTTATGAAACAGGCTTGTTCTTTCGATGGCACGACAGGATACTGGCTTCCCCTTGAGTGAAAAGGAGAAAAACAGTAATATAAAAAGGCAACGTGGGACTCCTTACTGGGATTAGAGAAAGGAGAGGCATGGCCGGCATACTGATGGTGACGAGGTAGAAAAATATTGAGTGCTAGAATGTAATCCATGTCTGACAAATGGCCTTTACAGTGAAGGGCGACCAGCAATAAAGGACACGGGTATGTGACTGTCCAGAGGACGAGACAATGCACCGAAATAATTGGGAGGATGGCGTATGACATTTTGAGTAGCTTTACTCAGCACTAAACAGATGAAAGACACAGAGGAAACGCAAGGTTAGCACGGTCGGCTATGGGTGAAAAAAAAAAAACGGGGAGCTTTGAAAACGGATCTCCGCCGTGCATTGTGTGGGTGGGGAGAGTCCACTAATGACTAGAAGATAAAACAGAAGGTCTGGTAGATTCATGAAGCCTAACGTTTTCAAAGAGCGGCAATGGAATATTTTTGTTGGCAGCGAGGGTGAAAGAGAAGCGCTGTGAAGCAGAAAGACAGAGAGGAAGGCTGACAGCTCACTGGTGGAAGATGACAGGAGCGGGAGAGGGAGAGGGAGGATATTTGAGGGAAAGTGTAACACAGGGATGCTGTCAAGCCTCAAGCAAGCTCCATTTAACAAGCTGCAAGATTGAGGGACGGAGAAGATTTCAGGGAGCCGGGCGAGAGGATCTACGGGCTCCTCTGCCTTCTGCGTGTGCACGGGAAAATATCTCACATGGGTTTGATTATGTAAACATGGTTGATGGAGGAGTTGGAGAACGGTCACATGATATTGAGGCATTGTGATGTTAATGCTAGCCTATAACACAATGATATTCATGAAGAAAGAGCAATTAAGTTCTATCATCTATCTATCTATCTATCTATCTATCTATCTATCTATCTATCTGTCTATCTATCTATCTATCTATCTATCTATCTATCTATCTATCTATCTATCTATCTATCTATCTACAGTATCTATCTATCTATCTAACCACATGCATTTTGTCTATCTATCTATCTATCTATCTATCTATCTATCTATCTATCTATCTATCTATCTATCTATCTATCTATCTATCTATCTATCTATCTATCTATCTATCTACAGTATCTATCTATCTATCTATCTAACCACATGCATTTTGTCTATCTATCTATCTATCTATCTATCTATCTATCTATCTATCTATCTATCTATCTATCTATCTATCTATCTATCTATCTATCTATCTATCCAACCACATGCATTTTGTCTATCTATCTATCTATCTATCTATCTATCTATCTATCTATCTATCTATCTATCTATCTATCTATCTATCTATCTATCTATCTATCTATCCATCTATCCATCTATCCAACCACATGCATTTTGTCTATCTATCTGTCTATCTATCTGCCTGCATTATGTTGGTCTATATATCTGTCTGTCTATCTATCTATCTATCTATCTATCTATCTATCTATCTATCTATCTATCTATCTATCTATCTATCTATCTATCTATCTATCTATCTATCTATCTATCTATCATCTATCTATCTATCTGCCTGCATTATGTTGGTCTATCTATCTGTCTGTCTGTCTGTCTATCTACCTATCTATCTATCTATCTATCTATCTATCTATCTATCTATCTATCTATCTATCTGCCTGCATTATGTTGGTCTATCTATCTGTCTGTCTGTCTATCTATCTATCTATCTATATATCTATCTATCTATCTATCTATCTATCTATCTATCTATCTATCTATCTATCTATCTATCTATCTATCTATCTGCCTGCATTATGTTGGTCTATCTATCTGTCTGTCTATCTATCTATCTATCTATCTATCTATCTATCTATCTATCTATCTGTCTGTCTGTCTGTCTGTCTGTCTGTCTGTCTGTCTGTCTGTCTGTCTGTCTGTCTATCTATATATCTATCCAGTAACCACCTGCATTATGTTGGTCCATCTATCTATCTGTCCGTCCGTCCATCTGTTTTATCTATCTGTCTGTCTGTCTATCCACCTGCATTATGTTGGTCTATCTATCTATCTATCTATCTATCTATCTATCTATCTATCTATCTATCTATCTATCTATCTATCTATCTATCTATCTATCTATCCATCCAACTGCATTATGATGATCTATCTATCTATACAATATCTATCCATTCATCCATCTGTTGATCTATCTATTCAAAAAGATAGATATCCATCACCTACTGTAGATAGATAAAGGCTTGTAGAGCATTAATTGTGCAGAGATGAATGTTTCCCTGCATCAGTCTCACAGTGGTGTATGATAGAGATCTCATAGACAGACACTTTTTTTCATCTGCTCTCCTAAATAATGGCTGACTTGAAGAATGGCTGAATAAAAAACAACATTTCTTATCTGCGTGCCTCCCGCAGACAAACCTACCCTCAGATGCATCTGTGCCACATCCACACACAGAGACCCCTGGCTTCAGATCAGAGATGAGAGAGGCCATCTTATCTGTAACACTCCAGAATCACTTCAAGCATGTTCACACTCGCTACACTCCCATGAGACACAGATTCAACATCCTAAGTCCTTCCCCATGGCCCATCTCACCCAACCACGTATCGAACACCCACAGCACACTTATCTTGCCTGGACAGACTAAATGTCAACCCTTACACCATGCTGGAATGTGATTAGCTAGTGCTAATAGCAATGATGGAGCTAATTTTGTTCAAGCCTCCCTCCAATGTTTCATTTACCGGTTCTCTCATTTGGCCAGCTTTTCTCGCTTGCGTTGGCTGATGGGTGGGAATGGATCCCGCGGCACAAATTTTTGCCGGTAGCATTCACACATGCAGGCGCAAGTACAGACAGGTCCTGCTCTCGCAGGCAGGCAGCCATTTTAGAGCTGGTTAACCTATAGAAGAGCTGTGTCTCATGTTTTTACTCAACTCATTTGAAATGGCTTGTGGTATATTTAAATATTTACTTTGTTGAAGGTTAAGTCATTTCTTGGTGAGAAATTACAAAGTATGTGTTGTGTGAATGTGAACAGATATATTGAATATTTGCTTTGTATTAAGTTACCGTTTTTCTACTAATATTAATGTTCGATGTACATTAGAAATAAACGACCTTATAGTTTAATTTAGAGATTTATTTAACATGTTCTTTCCATAAGAGATACAATTCCAAAGCAAGTTTTACTACCTTTCAAAAGTTTGGGGGCTGTAAGATTTTTAAATGTTTTTGAAAGAAGTCTCTTTTGCTCACCAAGGCTGTCTTTATTTGATCCGAAATACAGTAATATTTTGAAATATTATTACAATTGTGTTTCTATTTTAAATGTAATTTATTCCTTTGACCAAAGCTGAATTTTCAGCATCATAACTCCAGTCTTCAGTGTCACATGATCCTTCAGAAATCATTATAATATGCAGAAACATTTCTTATTTTTATCAATATTTTTGTGGAATCTGTTTTTTTTCCTGGATTATTCAACAAATAGAAAGTCCAAAAGAACATCATTTATTTGACATATAAATCTTTTGTAACATTTCTTCACTGTCACTTTTGATCAACTGAATGAATCCTCGCTGAATAAAGGTTTTAGTGACTCGAAACTTTTAAACGGCAGTGTATATGTTGCATGATCACAGTTTAACATTCTTATTTCAAGCTTGTGTTCAAAAATGAAAAATTTGGTCACCTGCCAAATGAAGTAGCTGCTTCCTTGACCTTTGAACTGACCTTTTGCCTTTCTCGACAGGTGGTCGCCTCCTCTGCCTGGTGTTATGGCTCAACCTGATGCCAGTGATGAACGGCTGCCCCGCGAAGTGCGTGTGCTACAGCGAGCCGAGGCCAACGGTGGCCTGTCAGCAGCAGGGTCTGTTCTCCATTCCCACTGAGATCCCTGTCCGCAGCCAGCGAATATTTCTCCAGAGCAACAAACTGACAGTGGTCCGATCGACCAGCTTTAGTTCTGTGCACAACCTCACGGTCTTGTGGATGTACTCGAATAACATCAGCCATATTGAGGCGGGGGCCTTTTACGGGCTGGAGAGACTGGAAGAGTTGGACATCGGAGACAACAGCAACCTTCGCATCATAAGTCCCACCGGGTTCCGCGGTCTGACCAAGCTGCACACCCTTCACCTGCACAGATGCGGGCTGTCCGAGCTCCCGGTGGGAGTTTTCCGAGGACTCTTCTCGCTCCAGTATCTGTACCTGCAGGACAATAACCTCCTGGCCCTGCACGAGGACACGTTCCTGGACCTGGCGAACCTCACCTACCTATTCTTGCATAACAACAAGATCAAGGTGGTGACCGATCACATGCTGCGTGGTCTCACCAACCTTGACCGCTTGCTCCTGCACCAGAACCGCATTGTACACGTGCAGCAGCGGGCTTTCAACGATCTGGGCAAGCTGACAACCTTGTTTCTCTTTTACAACAACCTCACCATGCTGACAGGGGAGGCCATGAACCCTCTGGTGTCTCTCCAGTACCTGCGGCTCAATGGGAACCAATGGATTTGTGACTGTCGAGCCAGGCCGTTGTGGGACTGGTTCAAACGCTTCAAAGGGTCCAGCTCCGAGTTGGAGTGCCACCTTCCCACCTCTCTGACTGGGAAGGACCTGAAGCGACTGAAAAGCGACGATTTGGAGGGCTGCGTGGACTCTCCGGCGCAGGTTCAAACCAGTATCTTCAACACCAAGGCGCGCTCCGGAAAGTTCCTCTCCCTTGAAGATCCCCTTGTCGAAAGCATTCCCAGGTGCTGTCTTTCGGATAATGACAAATCCTCCATCATCTCCAGTAAGTCCCTGCCGGATCCTTCGTCCTACAACAGCCGGCAGATCACCAACAATCCCCTGAAAGAAAAGGAGAACATCTCCAAGACCAAGTTTCGGGAGGTCGATCAGACGAAAAACGACACTCGTAATAAGCAGAGTCTCAACGATGGTCCTTTGGGAACCATGTCCAACCACCTCGACCAGACCTTGGACAAAATCGACCCAGAGCTGCTGGACAATCTGGAACCTTCAACAGCGCCATCTAGGAAGAAAAAAAAGTGCTCCAAAAAGCCCAAATCAGACCAGTATTGCCTAAAGGGTCATGGGTCCACCATTCAAGTATTGGCTGTTCTCTTTCTCCCCTTGTTCTGGTTGTCTCTGGCTTTGTCCTAGTTCACACTCTCATCCATCAGTTTGCTCTTGACAATGACACAAAATACCTGCAGTAGCCTGAGTGGACAGACAAATGACGTTGAAAGGGGGGTTGTGACGTTGCTCCGCATGGTTGAGAATAAAGTTGCAATGCTAACGACGCATTAAAAGAAATGGATGCCTTTACAGAACACATGAAATCTAATGTATATAAAACTGGGTGCCCAAATGTCTGTTCTATGTACTTTTAATGTGCTGTGTTTAAGCAACACTGCGAAGAGCTCCCCGTTTCCACATCACGTCCAAAAAAGCTGACCAGAAAGTGACTATTGTAGATGAACCACTTTAAAAAAGAAAAAAAAAGAATCCTTAAACCATGACTAAACCAGATCGCCGAAAGCACCCAGGAATGTTGCTGATATGAAACCGAAGAGGATTGACATTTATTTTTTTGTTCCCAATATTTTCTTTCTCTTTTAAAAGTGATACATTTGTTTGATGCTGTTTTTTATGTTTCTAAGTATTTCAGTAAAGACAAATGTTTAATTCCCCCCCAAATACATGCTATGTTCTGTTTGCGTCATGACACACTGCAGGTGGCATCTTGGGAAGGAATGCTGTCTATTTGTTCACTGACATTGCGATGGAATTATAGATATGCATTCTATTTTACTGGTGTACAAGCATAAATATATGACGAATAAAATATCTCATTTTTTACAGATGGCTTCTCGTGTGACTGAAGAACAACAGCAGAAAACATATTGGATATTAAAAGATCCATTAGTGATCGTGAAGGTTTTTAATTCAATTCAATTCAATACAAATACTAAATGAACCCCAGGGGAACTGAATGTCTATTTCGTGTATATTCCATTAGGATTGAAACCTCGAAGGCGCATATTGCTGCTCATTAATGAACTTTAACACAATGATTAATGATTCATCCATGTGTGAAGCTCAGAAATTCACAACACGAAGAGTGCCAAAACAACCAGGCATCTTTCATTACCAAATTAATGGATGAGACACTGACTGAATTTGAGAAGATTCCTTACAGTACACGTTTATTGGCATTCACTATTAAGGACTTTTAATAATATTATGACATTTAAGAAACATTTGCTTATGGCGTGATGAAATAGCGATTACATTTTTATGGTAAATTGCACGTCAGTAGCAGTAAAAAAAGAAAAAGAAAAATAACATCCTTTGGCTACGTCTGGCATCAAGTTGATAACTCCTTAAAACAGGAATGAAGAGAGAAAAATGTTATTGCAATGATTTACAGCACAGGATTTTTTTTTTTTTTTTTTAAAGTTTAACCACCACAGAATTGCATACAGTTATGATACAAGAACATTACTTCCTCATAACCTCTAAAATGTGTGTGTATCTATCTATATATCTATATATATATATATATATATATATATATATATATATATATATATACACACACACACACACTTACCATGTTAATAACATTACTAAATTGCAATAACACACACACACATATATATAGTGCAAGTTTCTCCTAAACCTTTATAGTTACTGTATGCAATCATTCACATTAATAGAGTAAATGGAAAAACTCATTTTAATTTCAATTACTGACACCGGATGGACAAAGGACAACAAATTATTGTGATAATACATTTAGTACACTAAATGACGATGCTTTTTAAAAAATGATTGACTATCAAAATCGTTCAATATGTTAATGTGAACCATATGCAGCATTATTAATATACACAGTGCATCCACTCATTTATTATCAAGCGATGCTAGTGTTTCTCAACTTAAAACACAAGAACTCCATTTTCTCAATTTCCATATTACTCAAACATACCTAACAGATAAGACATCACCTAGCCATTCAGACTTTTCTGTGAAGTAGCCTCTTCAACAGGGATCCAAACACTCTTACATTTTAATTAATTTAAAGAGAAACCTTGCACCATCCCAAATTTGGAAAATTTTGAAAATCACGTGAAGAATGAACAACCTCTAATCAGTTGTGCACTGAAAAGCGCTCAAGTTTGGGTCATAGACTATCACACTGTAGGAATCCATGTTCTGTCCTCTCCCATAAACAGATGGCGGAGCGTGCTGGGATTGTTTGCGGATGATGACCCATTGCTTTGTCAATTCTGGCCGGCGCTCAAGTCCACGTCCGATGCCTTCAACTACTCGTGCTCTGCAGGAGTCTGGCATAAGAGAGCGAGGCACACTTCGGTGGAGAGAGGTTTAGCCAACAGAAGTATGTTATACTAAACACACTACTGTCAGCTCACTTACGCCCCGTCTACACTGCTTGTGACACGACAAACCTAGAACACTCGGGTTGTAATCAAATGAAGCAATCTGCAACATACAGTGGGCGTGCAATGACGAAAATACTTTGTTGGTTATAACGGGAGTGTTATTGTATTGCTGCTGTTGCACACTGGTGTGCAATTATGAGGACAAACACTTGAGGTTTAAAAGGTCAACAGTATTCATAAACCATTTTACTTACTGAGAAAACAATGTTGTGCAGCATTGTGTGCACTGGGAATGGATTTCATATTAGGACAGAACCAGATGACGCCCCGCCAAAACACAGCAAGAACTCAGAAAAAAAAAAGAAATATATATATATATATATATATATATGAAGAGTTCAGATGCAAAAGCCTCTAAATGCCATTTGAAATTGTCTTCTTTAATGGTGATTTTTTGATAATGGTGATCAAACTTGTATATTTAAGTTCAGTAATTTCACTTAAAAAACAATTAATAGGTAATTATCATTGCTATTTTAGTGAAATTACTGAACTTAAATATACTACAAGCTTGATAAAAATGATCATTCAGAAAATTTCAAATGGCACTTAGAGCCTTTTGCATCTGAACTCTTCATATATATATATATATATATTTTCCTTGTCTGATTAACGTTCACATTGGCATTTTAACACTGAACCTAAAGGCACAGGGATACATTCCCAACCTGATTGGTCAGCTTTTACTACATTATAATAATACGTTTTATTTTTTATAGCCTTTCAAGAACCCAAGGTTCCAAAAAAAATAAATAAATACAAATGCATAGACAATTTGTGCGCAACTGCGCCTAGTCTCGGTATTGGAGAAAACAGCCCGCAGGGGAACTTAACATAAGGTAAAGGTAGCAGTTTGAATAAATAATAAACATAGCAGTTTGAACTCTTCTTCACTTTATTATACCACACATCAGACCTCCAAAAACCCGTGACACTCCAGTAGCCTACCAAGTGCGCAGTCTGTGCAAGGCCCATCTACGGCAAGCCCCGAGGGGAAAAATACATTGCATACACATACAACGAGCGCCAGAACATCATTACCGGTATTATAGTAACAGACTTTGTTGGATTATGTCATGTAATATCTAAAAAAGTAATATCTAAAAAAACTTTTGAGGACAGTTACACTGTATTGAGACAGTTGAGAAATAGTAGGCCAAGTATTTTTAGTTCTCAACAATAGGCTTGTTGAAGCCTTGCTCTTATGTTTCTCATTTTTGTCATAATTTTAGCATATAATTTATTTTATATGTTTTGAGACAGTTTACTGAGACTGTTAACTTTATTTATTTAAGTAGGCATCTATTTATTTTTATTAAGTATTAATTTTGTTGTAGCCTAATACATAACCTAAGTGTATTCATTTATAATGTATCATTATTGCGTGACATTTGTGTCAATAATCGTCAAACACAGGTGACTCCGCGTCGTGGGAGGGGCCCCCAAATCAAATTCTGCTTAGGGCCCCCAAAAGGCTCGGGCCGGCTCTGAACATAAGTCAAAGATTACAAACACATAGACCTTTTTGCAAAATCTAAATTTCGACAAAATGAAAATAAAAAGAGAGTAGAGGCGAGAGAGAATACGGTTGGATACGATTGACCACAAGAAGCCAGTTAAGTTGATGAAGCAGGATAGGGGTAATATGTGCAGATATTTTGTTATATGTAGGTGCTCAGTCAAGCAGCAGAGATTTGTACTATTTGAAGGCGATGTATTGCTTTGGTGGGTAGGCCGCTGTATAAGGAATTACAGTAGTCCAATCTGGAAGTTATGAAAGCATGAATAACAGTTTCAGCATCTCCAAAGTTAAGAGAAGGACGTATATGAACAATATTCCGCAGGTGAAAGAAGCATGATTTAACAGTCTGACCAATGTGTGAAGCCCTAATCTGAACACCATCAATTTCAATAAAAATGTCATACAAGGGTAAACTACAGGATTTCAGTTTTCCCAGCATTAGGCTGTAAGTTATCAGACATCCATGTCTTAAGTTCCTGAAGGCAGGAAATAACAGAACCGCGTGGACAAGGTGAGTTGGGGTTAATCGTGAAATAAATTTGAATATCATCA